TTTTTTTTTTTTTTTATCATGAATGGGTGTTGGATTTTGTCGAAAGGCTAAACTTCTTGACATGGCCCATGAGACGGAGACGCGTGCCCGCTGGGTGGCTTTCCTCTGAGCCCTCGGGTCTGCAGACGCTTCCTGGGCAGTCAACTCCCTGTGGCTGTGGGCAGCGAGGGCCCGGCTGCCTGGAGGAGGTCACTTTGTGGAGGGTGCTTCCCTGTCCTGCCACCCGGCCTAATTAAACCAGCTGCTCTGCAGAGTGTGCCTGCCGGGCCTGGCTCCCAGCGGGGCTGCAGGCGCCAGTGTTGCTAACAGCCGGAGAGGTGTGTGGTTCAGTGGCCGTTGTTACAGATGCAGCTGAGACCTGGTTGGCTGCCTGGCAGACCCTCCCACGGCTCCGCCGCCTGATTGGCTGCGCCGAGCTGTGACGCCGCTCCAGGCCTCATTTAATCAGCTCCCGCATTGTGCCTCACCCCCACCGTACTGGTGCCCTTTAAATCGCAAAGTGACAAGCGTGTCAGAACAGCAAGAGTGGGAGGCTAAGGGAGCCCACGTTACTCTCTCAGACTGGACAGTGGGGTGTACAGGGGTGCCTTTGCTGCCTGCAGCTGGATTCCCTTGGGACATGTAGGCCATTTATTTCATCACCCATGAGGCTGGGGACTGTGTAGCCTTTGAGATCTTTTCTGCACTTCTGGAATCAGAGGCCCAGGGTCGAAGTCCCGCTTCTGTGTATTTACCAGGGATAGAAAAGAGGCGGGCTTTTCCCTAGTGTATTTGTAACTTTGCCCAGAGGAGAAATTGGGTTGAAATTGAGTTGTCTCTTCCCTTTGCCTCGAGTGGGTTACCCAGGGACAAGTTTCTCCCTAATGCACATGCACCAGAAGTGGCAAGGAGCAAGTGGGAAGCCTGTGCATAGGACCAGGAGGCCATGGCAGATGTGCACCAGGCGCCTGACCCTTGCTGGGTCATCACTGGCTGTGTCCAGCTGTCCCCGAGAGAAGGAAGCATGGCTTCCCAAGGGAGGATAAGGATGCAAGAGTGGACTAGCTGACAAAAAGGCCTGTGTGGCTCTGAAGCCAGCCCCTTCCCACTGCAGCGGGCCTGGCCTTGTGTCTCCTGCTACTCAGCACAACCTCACTGCTCGAGGCAGAGCTGAACCTGCCCCTCCCCCTGTAGGCCCACAGGACCAGGCTTCCCTGAATACTGGGGCATCTGCAGCCATCTCTGAGTCAGAGGCTGAGTGCAGAGCCTCCTGATCCACTGAAGTGGGGCCAGCTCGGGTCATGTGGCACCTTGGCTGGGAAGGCCTCAAAGATAACTACGTCACTCCCAGGCTGGGCCAAGCGCTCTCAGCAACACCTGGGCCAAAGCTGCACCAGCTCATTTCTATTCTCAGAACAAGTCATGGCTTTGGGGTCATGAGGTAACCACACAGGGCTGTGAGAGAGGTCTGGGCCAACCAGATTCCCAGGATGAGGGGCGCTGGTCACCTCTTGGGCCTGGGAGGAGCTGTGTATCCCAGGGCAGGGGCCTGAGACCTCGGTCACTTAGGGTCCACTTCGAGTCAGCGAGACCCACACTCCACACTTGGTTTGTTGTCACCACAGGCAGGTTCAGAATCTCTCTGGGTCTCCATTTCTTCATTCAGAAAATAAGATCGGTGGGAAGATGGTGGGCTCAGCTTGTTTCTCTTGTCTCTGTCAGATCTTACATCTTTAAGATGCTTGATTGGATTTAAAGCACACCTCAGATACTGAGGCATAGGAACAGTGAATCACACTTTAGGATTCCCCCCACCCGGAGTTCATCATCTCATATACATGCACCCTCAGAAATGGGAAAATAACAACCAAGCTCCATTTGTGAGTATGCCACTTCCTAGACCCTGGGAGAGTATGTTCTTCAGTATGTAACTTCCGTTTCTGTTGACATTCTCAATGTTCTTGTCCACTTCTATTTTATATTTTATTATGGAAAGTTTGAAACATGCAGAAGAATTATATAATGAACCTTCATGGACTCAAAGCCATGCTTCAATACTATCCACATCTTGTCAGTGTTGTTTCATCTGCCCTCCCTTACGCCATGCGTACTGTTGGCAGAGGGGAGGGCTGGAGTATTTTAAATCAAAATATCGGTGTCATTACTTTGTGTGTCTAAGAGAAATATCCCTCTTTTTAAACATGTAGCTACAATGCCATTTTTATACCCTCCCATATTAATAGTGAGGAAGGAGTTCTTTGAATTCTGGTGAACTCAGGACAGAAGGGGTTTAGAGTAAAGGAGCTCTGGTCTTACAAGATTTTCAGAAAGAAATATGAGAATGCTTGTCTGTTCTCTGATCAGAGGAATGGATATAACTAGTATTCATCTACTGAGCACAGACTGTGTACATCTCCATAAACATCATCTCCTTTAGCCTTCGCACCAAAGCTGAGCAGGGAAGCTAAGATTCTCAGAGGAGCTTCCCAAATGTTACTTTCCAATCCATCAATAGTACACTGTCTGCCCGGTGAGTGTGAGGAGGCCAATGCAGGAGCATGGTGGGTTCAAGGCAAGCCTGGGCAATGTATGAAGCAAGGCCCTATCTTAAAAACAACAGGCAGGGTGTGGTGACACAACCTGTAATCCTGTAGCCCCAGCACTCTAGGAGGCTGAGGCAGGAGGATTGAAAAGTTCCAGCCTAGCCTGAGCAATTCAATGACTTGTGAAACACTGTCTCAAAATAAAAAGAAAAAGGGCTGGGAATGTAGCTCAGTGCAAAGGCCTGGATTCATTCCCAGGGCTGCACATGCACACACACACACACACACACACACACACACACACACACACACACACACCATGTTACAGCTCTGTACTGAGTCAGTAGGAAATCTTTTCTATTTAGCATCAGCACAGAAGGCTGTTCCATCCATGTCTTGATCTAAACAGATGTTTAACTTCTATAGAAACAATAACCAGCTCATTCTTTAAGAGTCCCTGGGCGGCGAGGGGCGGGGGGGATGCTTTCTTTCCCAGCTAATGCATTCCAGGCAGTCTTCCTCTTTCTCTTTAACCCCGTTTCCCCAGTGGACATAGAGTGGACCCCTGAGTTACCAAAGTGCAGCTTTCCGGGGTGGCTGCAGAGATGATGCTCCTTGAGTAGTGACAACCAGTTACAATCGTCTCTTGGGGTGCGGGGCAGCGGCACCGCCCACGGCTCCCAGTCAGCCCTGCGTCCAGGAGAGCAGACACCGACTCTACAGTGTGCTGTGTGCTGCTCCACGGTGTGAGGGAGGTTAGGTGTGTGAAGTGCGTCTTGACAGTGTTTTGACAAACTGTCCATGGTAGTTGAGGGACAGCTGCAGATGCCTATCACGGGGCATGTAAGTCACTCCTTAGGGTTAGCAGATATTCATAGATTTATACTTGAAGGGTTTGAATTTTTGCTTTGGAAACCTGTAAACTTTTATTCAGTAGGGGGAATCTTTACATAGCAACACGGGCCTGTACCTCCTTAAACATGTGGCAGTAACGGAGGGAGAAAGAAATAGAGGAAAGGAGGGAGGAAGGGAGTGGGAGAGGAAGGGAGTGGGAGAGGAAGGGAAATAAAAACCAAAAAGCTCCCATAAACCTCAAGTTGGCTTTATGACCGCGCTTGGGAAGTCGTGCCTGTGTTGAGAATGTGTGCAGAACGTCCTTCCGCATACCCCACAGAGTGGGCGGTCTGGGATGTGAGACATCTGGTGGGCCTAAACTTCAGGCCATCCTTCACTTGTCCTGCCCAAAATCCTGGGTGGGACCCTAGTCCTGTGCTTCTGTGTTCATATATATAAGCGTCACGGCACGGGCGGGGATGTAGCTCAGCGGTGCAGTGCCTGCCTGGCAAGCACGAGGCCCTGAGTTGGATCCCAGGTACAAAAAACAAATACACACACCACGCACCTGGACTTGACCCTACACCTCGGGAAGCGAGTTTAGTATACCTGCATTATAGCCCAATAAGTCCCAGTTTTCCCTTGTAATGGAACCTTGCTTTTCTCTTTTGAATGTCTCTTTTTAATTGACAACGCTTCAACCTAATTTGTGTTTCATTCACACAGATGAAATCATGCAACAGGAAGTCAGGCCCTTGGTGGCAGCGGATATAATAGAACAACTTCACAGACAATTTGCCATTCTTTCAGGTAAGGGGTAAACTCATTTGCATTTCCACATTTTGCCGGGGTTCCTTCCGGGAGGGCTTCTGGGCTTTGATGAGCATTATGCCCAACCTCACTCGCCCCTCAAACCTCATCTGGGCCAGAATGGGGTGAAGATGCACGGCCGGAGAAGGGTGGGGTCTCCTGGATGCTGTTCCCTTTGCTTTGGGGTGCATCAGGTCTTCCCCAAATGAGTGCCTTACTCTGAGGCTGTGAAGAACAGAGCTGGAAAGATCTGAAGAAAAACAACTAATGACCTCAGTGGGCGCCGTGCCATTCTGCCACTGTTTTTGTTGAATGCTCTTCCAAGATTCAGCCTCAAGAGTCTTGGTTTGAAGGGCTCAGGAGCATTTGCTAAGGTTGTTTGTTCTCTGAGACATTTGACTTTTATTCTTAGGTCTTCCGAGGACATTCCCAACAAGCATTTGGTTGAGCTTAACCTGAGGTTGATATTAATAAGAGGCTGGAGGGCCGGGGATTTAGCTCAATGGTTTCCCCACCTGCTGCACAAGCGCAAGGACCTGAGTTCAATCCCAGGTACCAAAAAAAAAAAAGAGGCTGGAAATTTTCTGAGTCCAGGGAACAAGACTGAAAAGTTGTCACTACCCGAGTACTATTCTTATTCACTTGTCTGAGAGTGGCATGCATGACTTTAGGAGGTATGAACTATTATAGACAGCTGAGTTAGGTAGAAATATTATAGGTAGTCAGACAGGGCTAAGTCCACAAGAGAGAGTTGGGACAAAGGTAAAACACCTCACAGCTGTGGCCAGAGACACATCTGTTGGAGACCAGGCTTCAAGATAAAGTCAAAATGACCAGGCTTGCGTACTCCCCAAAGGACAAGATAAGCGGTAACACAGGGTCTGATGAAGTTCAGATAGACATCAGTCACCCCAGTGGGTGACCAAGAACTCTGGACCCATCATTTCCTAGAAAAAGTCTTTGTACTTTCCATGCACACTTGTTACATGACTCGTTTCCCCATTGGATCACTGTTACCTAAGCAACTATATTTGTAACTTTATTGGTTGATCATAACTGTACCCCATGTTGTACCCATGTGGTTTTGCTCTGTAAAACTTCCCTGTAAAGTGGGGTCCTCAGCTACCCATTCAGGACCCCTCCTGCCTCTCAGGAACTATCCTCTCAATAAACATTTCCTACTCTTAACCTCTGTTGTTCCTAGAATTCATTCTTTGATTTCAGAGAACACAAACTTGGTGTGTCAGACATCTAACAGGTTGGGAACTATAATATTTCCCTTATTTCATTTAGAGGTCCTATTTCATCTCCTAATATCATTCCCTATTCAATACCAAACCCTAAATCATAATAGTTGAACTAAATTTGGGAGCATACAGTGGTGAGATTAGAGGTCTTTGTCACAGAGGAATAAGATGGCAAGTCACTCTCTTCAGGTTTATGTTTCTTCTAAAACAAAACAACAGTCATGTTGTTTATATCACAGAGGAAAATGCAGTTGGTATCAATTTTTCTCAACAACAGGGAATGGGAGGAAAAGTCACATTTCTCTCCTTTGTGTAAATTATATTTAATCTGCTCCAAATTTCTCACCCCACTGACCAGAGGGAAACCCAGTCTCACCTAGTGGGATCCCACAGCACACTCCAGCAGTGCATCCTGGGTGGGGATGCAGAGCATTCTGGGGATTCCTTCCTCTATGGTAGTCACCATTCACATAGTCACTGAAAGCTTTGTAAGTACAGGGTGTTTGTTTTTCTTACTTCTGCATTGCTAGAATTCAGAACTGAGACTGGAACATAAAAGGAGCTCAGTACAAAATTACCCAAGTCGTTCCAGGCTGTCCTTCGAGGCTCCCTGAAGGCCCAGCTTTGGTCCCACAGGTTTGGCTCCGAGGTACATGCCCCGCCAGCCTCGTAGCTTCCTGGGGTGAGCCTAGGCTTGGCAAGACAAAGGGCAAGAAGGGAACTGTCCTCTGGGCTCCTGGAAACTGCTGCTGTGGCCCTGCACCAGGAAGCCCCAAGGCCAGCAGGCTACAGGTCTTCAGTGGATGATGGGGAGGAGTGGAGTGGATTCCTATAGCGTTAGACGCAAACTCTAATGGCCCAGTGTATGATTCTGCCACATATCCCACAATGGCACATCTCAGACAGGAGTCCAGTGGTTGATTAATTGATACATTTACAGTGGACCCTTGACTTACAAACTCATTTAGTTTGCTGGGGCTGGTTGTAACTCAAATTGGGCAGTTGGAGGCTCAGGCTCCTCTACACAGCCTTCAAAGTCTCTCTCCTATGTACAGGCAGATCTCAGTGTCCTTAAGACACTGGCCCAGGATTTCTCAATTAACCCCACACAGGAAAGGATGCTGTAATGTTCCTTCCAGAACTCTTTTTAAGAGTTAAATCTGTATCTGAGACCATCAGGAAGCACAAGCGGCCAGCATTTGGGTTGTAACTCAAGACTTTGGTCATTAAGTTAAAACTAAAATTCTGATCATAACCTAAATTGTTCATTTGTCAGGCCGGTTGTAACTCAAGGGTGCACTGTAATTGGTTCAATTTATCTCTTTTATTACTCAGGCATTTCTTTCCATGCTTATTTCTTAGAGGCAATACAGGAAAAACATGAACTGGTACCAGACAGCGCTAGATAAGGAGTTGGATTCTGCTATTTACTAGCAGTGTCACCTCAGGCAGTTTACTTCTCTAAGGTACCATTTCCTCCTGTGTACAGTGGGGTCCTTGTAATTTTGGCTACTAAATGACAAAATGCATAAAAAATGCCCAGTATTACAACTGCCAAATAAGTGTCCATCATTTTTTCCTGATATATTTTAAATTCCCATAAGGTGTTTATTTTAAGGTTTTTATTACCAGAAATAGTTTTCTGTATGATACAGTTTTTTAAAAATAAGGAATCAGAGCCATACTCACAGTGAATATGAATACAATGCCAGCAGTAAGTCAGGAATAGACTGTCAGCCCACTGTGTAGAACAGAGCTGGAAAGCTCATGCTGGGCCAAGAGGACTCCTCTGATATAGCGAAGATCACCCTTCATTTCTGAGTTTCTTTTGTCCTTTAAGTTTGCTCTCCTTATGAGAGAGAAGCTTGGTTTTCTGTGATGCACTTGCAAGCTTGCGAGCCTGAAGACTGTCAGCTCTGAAGGAGTACTTTGGTTTTTGTTTTTTGGGTTTTTTTTTTTTCTTTGGTAGTTGACAAATAATAGAAGAGATCTTCAATAATTTTTACAATAAGATAAAAATAACCTAAATTACTTATGTCTAGCAATGAGTTCACAAATATTAGTTTGGAGAAATACAAGGCTTGAATGACAGTAATAATCCTGTAAACTTTCAGAGGAGTGAGGGTTTCTTTTTTTTTCCCTTGCTTTAAAAATTTTTTAAACTGTGGATTTAGCTCAGTTCCGGGGTTCCAGTGCCTGGCTCGCAAGCGCAAGGTCCGGAGTTTGATCCCCGGTACCAAAAAAAATATATTTTTAAAAATAAATTTTAATTTATTTTATCCCATTCCCTCCTCAAGCCCCCTCCCCTCCCTATGTACAAAAGCTTTGTTTCCATTTTTTCTGAAGGAGCACTTTGGGATCGGCAGCCTTTCAACTTCCACCATCCCTCTCTACCTAGCAGAGATAGCAAACGTCAGCTCTGAGGCCACCTTGGGTGCCTGTCTAGTTGTGTCTGAAAACATAAATCTCTGTGACCAGGTCTATTCTCGTGTCTATGGCAGCCTGAAGGCTGCTCTGGATCATAGCAGTTTTCCTCTTCCTGATTCGGGTAAGCAAAGTGAACACTTATTTTTCAGCTGTAGAATTTTGTAGATTCCACTGAACTCTGGAAAGAGCCAGAGGCTTATTGGCCAGGAAGGCTGTAGAGGAAAGGACAGAGACTCAAGGAGAACCCGATGGCCTGGCCAGCGCCATTTGTGTAGAAGAGTGAAGGCCAGGGGCCGGGGATTTAGCTCAGTGGTTCTGTTGCTTGCTTTGCAAGCACAAGGACCCGAGTTCAATCCCCGGTACAAAAAAAAAAAGACCAGGTTCACAGGTATAAATCTCTAATCACAAGGTTTTGGGCCAGGGATTTAGCTCAGTGGTTCCGGCGCCTGCCTCTCAAGCACAAGGTCCCGAGTTCGATCCCCGGTACCAAAAAAAAAAAAAAGAAGAGCGAAGGCCCATTGTGCAAAGCCTGACCCAGAATCAAGGTCTTGCTCACAGCCTTTACCCGCAGAAGGCAGCACCCTCTCTTCCACAGCCCTCCTGAAGGGCGTCTTTTGAGGTCAGAACCACCAGAGGCCTGAGCCCTGGCCATCATCCAATTCCTGTTTGGAAGGCAGCGTGCATGTTCACAGTCAGCTTGGAATATTTCTGAGTTCAGGGCTGAAGCAGGAGACATAGGTTTGTTAGCATGGTAGAAACATTCTAGGCTTTGGACTCAGAAAATTCTGGGTTCATGTTCAATTAGTAGGTTGCTCTGAATCTCTGTCATGTATAAAATGGGTCTTATTAAAGGAAAGTATGGACTCTGGCTACAAGAGAACTCAGCCTATAGGACTTTTTTGTTAAACTACTTAAGACATCTGGAGGTAGAAACTCCTACTATTGGATCAGTGCTCAATAGTGTTAAGGCTGGCATCTTTCTGGTTCTCTTGACGTTTCCATATTTAAGTCTCGATCCCAAGAAGGCTCCTGCAGCTCCAGACATCAAGTCTGTGTCCATATCAGGAAGAGAAAAAAAGAAGCAATTCTAACTTCATCTGTTCCTTTTGCCAGGAGAGCAGAAACTTTCCCTAAAGCTTTTGACTAACTTCTACTTATGTCTCGTTCCAGAACTATCATGTAGCCATCCCTCACAGCAAGAGAATCTGAAAAGCAAGCATTTAGCTTTCTAACTCCCATGTAGAAGGTGGTCAGGGGGAAAGAGGTGTGGGAATGAATTAGTCACTTATCAGTATGGGCCATAATGCCTTTCCTTCAATTACAAGA